AAAAAAACACTTATTTTAATATAAAAACTAAACAACTGAGCCGACTTTAATAAAATGTCTATGAAACCGATTTCAATGTATATGAAAATTTCAATTTAAAAATAAGTTACGACACCACGCGAGCAAAACCATGGGCAGAAGTTAATCACAATATGTCGGACTTTATTTATCAATCTTACTATTTTACTACTGTAATAAAATTATACCTAGACCACGTCTATACATGAAAGATCTATATAGATTCTGAATACTAGTGTTGTGCTCTTTTGAGGGCAAAACAATAAACTGAGTTGCGGCCATTTTGTGTTACTGTGGCATACGCACGAAATAAAATATATATATAAATAAATATAATGTACATTGTAATCTTATAAAGAGGAGAGATTTGTATTTTTGTGTGTTTGTAAAAAATAAACTCAAAAACTACTTTGGCGATTTCCAAAATTCTTTCACCATTAGAATGCTACATTCTCCCTGAGTAATATAGGCTAAATTTATTGCTAGAAAAGATTAGGGATCCTTACTAAAACTTTAGTAATGTAACTTAAGGTGTAAAAAAAGGGCTATAAAATGTCGCGTGCGCTGCGGAAACATACAGTAATAGCAACAAATAATAACAATGTTAGCAATGGCGAACCGATCTCTAAAAGAGATTTCTTCCAGTCAACCTAACACAGTGGCATAGGAAGTAGGGAGTGGGCAGTAGTGGTGCAAGACAGAAACTAAAATAAAAACTAAAATTATGTTACCTTTTTTTTATTATTTTATTATTATTTTTTCTTTTGCTCGTGTATCTATATATACATTGTTATTTGTGTGCTGTGAGTAATGTAAATAAATTATATATCTATCTGTTTTAAAAAATATAAGGGCTGGTAATATAACAAATTTTAAGGTTATAAAATAAATCTATAGCTCACTTCACGTTTTGGGATACCGTAAGTGTGGTGAGCAATTTGTAAATAAATAAATAAATCCAATCTCCTTCTTTTTAAGTCGGGTGATAAAATAAAACATGCGACGGTGAGTTAATGCTTGCCAGTTATCCGGTAACATTTCTCTGCCGACCGTAATCCCTTGTTGGTTTTGTTATGCAACCATTGTAACTGTTTATTTGACGGTGCAGATTCGTAGATAACTGGAATGTTCGATTAGATTACTTTATAAATGTGTGATAACATGAAGCGGAAGTCCAATATGACGTGTTAGGTGCATCGCACATCGCGCAACAGTTGACCACTTTAAAGCGAATAGCGATTTAATTTGATATTGAATTTTCAAAGTAAAGTTGCCGTGTGGTCCCGGCATATAATGAGTCATCCCTTCCCTTCCTGTGGGTGTCATAAGAGGCGACTAAGGGAACTTAATGATTTAGGAAATATAAACGAAAGCTTAAATGCGGTTGCCGATCGGCCTGTCAGGGGGGAAAGGGATTGTTAGCAATGGACTCTGACAGCCCCATTGCTAGGTTTTTGTTAAGTCGACCTCCACGCGGTTCCCCCTGGAAACCATCGTGAACAATTCTTGTTGAATTCACCATGATGGGATAACTGACCTGCTCCATCCTCACCTCTCATCCTTCACTGGTGCCCCGCTGGTGTATACCAATAGCGCGGGTGGGGTTACTATTCCATTATCATCCATTAAAAAAAACCCGCCTTCAAGTGTGGTATCTACTGGCATCACCCTCCTTTATGGGGGAAGCCTCTATTCAACAGTGGAAAGTTAACGACTGATTTGATAATCATCTGATGACAGATTAATAATTTAATGTTGTCGTAAAAAGCCGACGCTAAAAATGTGAAATGTATATAGCAGCTTAGAATCAGTTTACATAATTGATCTCTGATTATCTGTACCAACTATTATTAACAGATAGTCCTCTCGTGCGAATACTCTCTGAGAGAACTAGATCATTATTAGTAATTAAGTATTAACATACTCGTAGTTTTTAAGTGCATTTACTAACAAAGTTGGACCCAAATTGTTTAGACAACTTGGGTTCAACAACAGACAACAACAAAGCCAGCTCTACCCCATGCCTAATTTCTTATTTATTTATTTCAAAATAAATAAAAAAATAGAGCTGGCTGGAAGAAAATGCATGAATTAGTTGCACGAACAAGAGGAAACTCTTAAATGAAAAAAGTAGCTTTAATAAAAAAGGCCCATTTTGTAAAGAGTCTAAGAAATACGCTTTTGTAATGGATGACTATGGAACAGTAATACCGCTTGTACTATCGATATACTCTGATGAGGCACTAGTGGGAAATGATGGATGAGAATTAAAGCGGATCATTTAACCCGTCGTGACGAATCCCACAAAAATTAATCACAACGGTTTCCAAAATGAACTGCGTGGAGGTTGACCCGATTGTTTGTACCTACCTACTATCATTAGTTGCGATACTAAAATTGTCACATGTGTGAAGAGCCTTAGAGTCCGTTTGAGGAATCGACCTTTGCCCAATTTATGGCACGGACTTGTGTACTGAATCCAACTACGCTACAAATATCGCACGTGTGATTAGCCCTAGAATCGGTTTAAATAATCGATATTCGCTTTAATTTGGCACGAACTTAGTGAATTGTTTATTCTGATGAGATAATAAATAGTACATTACTGCACCGGCCAGCAACTGAGGCATTGATGGACGAACGTGCAAATGTGGGCCGAGGTGTAGGCGAGGCACACATACGTGAGTCCATCAATGCCTAGTTGTGGCCAAGGCTTGTATAGTACTTTTCTCAAACAATGCGCGGAAATCAAAAAACACAATTTTACTTTTTAAGTTCAATGACGAATAACGAACAATAATAATTTTTCGCGCGCTATAATGTTCCTTTGTTTTTTTTTTTCAATAAACAGCTTTCTATTTGCAAACCAGTTCGAAATTTAAATAAAACCTTTTATTAGTTACCTCCTTGGTAGCCATGTTTCGAAGTAAAATGTCATTCTATTTTTAAATTACAGGACAGATATGAGTTTAGATAGTAATTTATCTGGCCGCAAAACACGACAGATATGGATTTTCATACAACTTTTGCCGGCCGCTGCCCGCATGTATCTGGCCAGTACGGCAATTTTGATTTATCTCTAAGAAGATTGTCAAAATAATGCTCACATTTCCAAGCATGTTTGAGATAAAAAAAATTACTATAAAGAATATCTAAAAATTCCTATCACTGTTAGGAATTAGCAGTGAACTTTAAAAAGGGTCACAACAAAATATTTTACCAGAGGGAGACTTTGTACAAAAGTCGTTTGCTTGGGTACCTCTGTCCCATTCGTGTTTCAACCGTGAAGCAGTTGTGTTTGCATGGCTGTGTTTCGGTTTAAAATGTGGGATATGGCAGTGAATTTACAGGGTACAGAGGAATAACACCTGAGTCCTCAGGAATGGCAACGCATGGGGGGTATCATGGGAGAAACAGTATACTCTGTTATGTCCATGGCACTGCTCATGTCTATAGGCGACGGTTACCACCTTACAACAGGTGGGCCGTCAGCTTGTTTGCCATTCTAAGTAGTATAAAAAAAATTGTCTAAGATTATATTACACAAGTACTTAATAATAATACTTATATATATAAGCATATCATAAGCTGATAATTTCTAAACAAACCTCTCGGGTTACAAGCGAGATCGGGTTACTGTATGCACATGTACGAGCATTTCACAGGAAATAAATATCTGACTCTTGTTTTATTGACATATACATACATACATACATACATATCTGTCACGCCTGTCTCCCATTAAGGTAGGCAGAAACAATGAAACGCCAAATGCTTCGATTCAAACAAACCTCTTTCGCTTCTTCCACATTCATCAATCTTGTCATACACGCTCGCCGGTTACGGGTACTTTTAATTTGGCCCTTCTTCAGCACGTCGCCTATTCGGTCGACATACGTCCGTCTAGGGCGGCCCCTACCGACATCTCCATTCATTCTTGCTCGATAAATCTCTTTCGTAATTCTTCTTTCATCCATCCTCTCCAAATGACCAAACCAACGCAACATTCCTTTTTATTGACATATTTAATAATTAAAGATTGTCTTATAAAAAAAAAACTTACTTAACTTGTGATAAAACCAATTATTTTGATTTCAAAAAATAAATAATCGATTTTAAAGGAGGGGGGGGGGGAAGGGTTTCTTAGTACTTGGGCTTAACAACCCTATTGTTAGCGGGAGAAAAGGATTGTCAGTAATGAGTTCTAACAGTCATATTGCCTAGCAATATACCCTATATTGCTAGCAAAAGGACTTTTTAATGGTTGAAAATGGAATGGTGAATCAGATGGCCTTCCTAGTGGTTCCCCCTGGAAACCATGGTGATTTTTTTTTATACGACATAGAATGGCAAACAAGCTGACGGTCCACCTGATGGAAAGTGGTAACCGTCGCCTATAGACGTGAGCAGTACCGTGGGCCAGTGGCGTAACTATACCATTTGGGGCCTGTGGCAAATTCTTTTGATGGGGCCCTATCAATAAAAAAAAACTTTTCACGTAAAATAAAATACTCAGATACAATGCAAAAAAATCTGAGCTCGCGGCCTCTTGAGCCGGTGCCCTTTTGGGTCGGGGCCCGTTTTATTGTTACGCAACTGCCATGGGCATAACAGAGTACACTATTTCGCCCATAATACCCCCCATGCGTTGCCATTCCTAAGGACTCAGGTGTTATACCTCTGTACCCTGTAAATTCACGCCATATCCCACTTTTCAAACCGAAACACAGCCATGCAAACACAACTGCTTCACGGTAGAAACACGAATAGGACAGAGGTGCACAAGCAAACGACTTTTGTACAAAGTCTCCCTCTAGTAATGATAGTGTACTCCGGCTCTATCTCGATGTATCTCAGAGCGATCTGGTAAAGATATCTGAACGCACAGCCCTGAACACCCAGATCACATAAACTGACCCTACCAGAAATCACTTTTTATTACTTAATTTTATTACTTAACCATTATTTTCTTTTCTTTGCAGATAAGATATGGAAATTAAATCGCCAAAAGCGAAGAAAAAGTCAAGCTTTTCCAGACTGATATCGTGGGGCAAAATGTATCGAATCCCATTACTTATGCTCCTTTTGTTGGGCTCTACCAATTGTGACGAGGGAGAATCGAGCGAAGACCTGGCCACACACAGTATTCCAAAACCGAATAATTCAAATTTCAAACCCATAGACAATAGTTTAAATCTCGAACGTTTAAAATTGAGGCATCGTCATACGCACATGCTGCCAAATTTAAACCGTTCTTTGGATAATAGTGACAGACAATTATTGAGTGACATTAAATATTTAAGACGACATTTGAATAAAGAAATAGTGAATTTTGTGATGAAAGACAATCTTGTTGATGGCGAGATGGAGGTCAGGGTGCATTTTAATGGGATAACAGCAAAGGAGACATCTGTTGGCTCTGATGGGTAAGTGTTTCTTTGTTTTAAAATTCAAATACTTTATAAGTTACTAAAACTACCAGATGATAGTAGAATTAAAAATAATAATACTAATATTATATTTTTTAATTCCGCTAATACCATAAACATTTTATAAAGGTTAAAACCAGTTGTAAAAATCTATAATTTATCTTTATCTATGATCAATCGTATGTTATCACCAGAAGGAGACTTTGTACAAAAGTCGATTGCTTGGGTACCTCTGTCCCATTCGTGTTTCAACTGTGAAGCAGTTGTGTTTGCATGGCTGTGTTTCGGTTTGAAGGGTGGGATATGGCGTGAATTTACTGGGTATGGAGGAATAACACCTGAGTCCTCAAGAATGGCAACGCATGGGGGCTATTATGGGCGAAAACAGTATGCGTGTGTACTGTTATGTCCATGGTACTGCTTATGTCTATAGGCGACGGTTACCACTTTCCATCAGGTGGGCCGTCAGCTTGCCATTGTAAATTGTATAAAAAGAATGTTACAGTATTTGTGCCCACTTAATAACAACAAGGTATTGCTATCTGATGAAGAAGGTCAATACTGGTCATTCCTCAGCGTCAAATGTTGGTTGCTGTCAGTGACTACCTGCACTGTGCATACTTATGATAGCGGAAATAAACGAAATACTAAGTCCGGTCGATATTAAAGATTAATTTCGGCAATATTGTGTCGATATCCATTTATGTTAATAGATCCATAGTTAATAGATAAATCGATAATTTATTTACATTACATACAGCACACAAATTACAATACAAACACAATACATACACATAATACACAATAAAAGAGATAAAAGAACGAAAATATAAAAAAAGCAACAAAACAAAAAACAAAAAGCAAAAAGCAAAATATATAAAACCACAATTTCCTTTCTTTTCCTTTATGCGAGTGCCATAGTGTAACAAAATGGTTATTCATTTTTTTTTAATAATGTTTACACATAAATAAATAATTAATACGAATAGCGTAATAAGTAGAAGCTACCTTTTTACTTAGACAGTAGTTGAGATTATAATCAAATGGTTTTTGTTTTTATACAACTTATAATGGCAAACAAGCTTACGGCCCACCTGATGGAAAGTGGTAACCGTCGCCTATAGACATGAGCAGTACCATGGACATAACAGAGTATACTGTTTCGCCCATCTTCCCCCCCCCCCCTTGCGTTGCCATTCCTGAGGACTCAGATGTTATTCCTCTGTACCCTGTATACTGTTTCGCCTTTAATATATCTTTACTACATCTTAAAAAAAATATAGCCTTGTCAAATATTACATGAATGTCGTATGGTTCCGGCAATCAGTTCAGGGTACAATAGGACTGATATACCTGGAGAAGGTAAAAGCTCTTAAATAATAAAAAAAAAAGCTAAGAGGATTTAATGGTCGAGGGGTTTTTTTTAATGGATGATAATGGAATGGTAACCCCGCCCGCGTTATCGGTATCCACCGGCGGGGCAACAGTGAAGGATGATAGGTGAGGATGAAATAGGTCAGTTAGCCCATCGTGACGAATTCAACAAGAATTGTTCACGATGGTTTCCAGGGGGAACCACGTGGAGGTCGACCTAATAAGGCATATTGCTAGCAATGGGGCTGTCAAACTCCATTGCTAACAATCCCTTTCCCCCCAAATGGTCGAGGGTTGGACAGCAGTATTCTTCTTAAAACATCACCTAAAGCCTAACTGTGATTACTAACTCGCTTGCCAAGCGTGGCAACTACTAGCACTATGTTTAGCAGTGTTCTTTTCTTTCCTAACTAGCATAATGCAAATAAAGTGACATTTTGTTTATCATACAGATACGTTACGTCATTAAATACATAAAATAGAATTACAAACGGACGTACAACAATAATACAATCTCCACAAACAATACAAATTGATAAATACACTGCATTTAAATTAATTGTACCGCACTGCATCCTGTAATGGGATATCTCATGGTTACCATAATTAGAACGCACTACACTTAAATGTCGTAATGACAAGTCTGTATTATATCAATTTTGAAAAATTATGTGACTAAATATTGTTAATGTATGAAAAAAAAAGATATGTTAAACTCTAAGAACAAGGAATTACATAGAAGGAATGATAAAATAAAAACTGTTAATCATATGGTTATCTCCTTTCTTCTTATGCAAATGTAATTAGTGAAAGGAGTACGAAAGATACACCATCAGTTGCTATTTTTCTCAATTCATAGCAGGCTAGTGTATAGACAATATGTGAATTATTTATCAATGACAAATTTTACATTACTAGATTATATATACGACACAGTTTACGTAGAAAGTATGCAAGCAGGTTGTATCTGAATTTGGTAGGGTTATACGGCCGTATAACATTTTCTATACACTAGCCTGCTATGAATTGTCAATTTTATCACTCCTTCTATGTAATTCCTTGTTCTTAAGTTAAACTCAATGGACTCAGTGACAAATGCTCAATAGTTGATTATAGTGCAAACGGCATATAATGGCGGAGCATTTATGGAGGATTAGGTCAGATCTTTTAATGGATGTTAATGGAATGGCAACCCCGGTTACGCTATCGGAATATGCTTACAGGGCATTAAGCAATGATAGGTGAAGATGAAAGTAGGCCTGCTGGCCTTTAGTGACAAATTCATCAAAAATTAATCACAATGGTTTCCAGGGAGGTCAGGATGCCTGTTACTAACAACTCCTCCCCCTCCCCCCTCACAACTGATGGAGCCAGGTCATTTGGCTAATCGTGAAAAATTCTATAGGAATTACAATGGCTTCCAGAGGAGTCCGTGTGGAAGTTCAACTGATAGGGCTTGCTAGTAATGGGAAATTACTCTTCCCTTTAAAAATCTTTTCCCCCATTATATAAATCAGAAAATAACTGAAAACTGTGTTATAAACATAATAAATATGTATAACAGCATAATGCTATTAAAAAAAAATTCTACATTTTTTTTATTGAAAACATAGATTATATAGATAGAGTACCTCCATACAAGTGCTTAGTGAAGCATTTTAGTGAAATAGATCAACTTTTTTATCTATGCTGCGTGAATAGTCACGTATAGATAGCATAGATTAAAAAGTTACCATAATTTTCATATATTACTCAGTATATGGGGAAAAATATACTGTAAAGTTAAATTGAAAAATAAAAACAGTGCAAAATTCTTACGAATATATTTAAAAGAACAAAATTAACACTCCATTATGATAAGTAATGATGCTTATCTTGGCTTTGATTTCTATCTAAATAAAGAGATAAAATATGTTTTCATTTTTAAACAATTAAAAATGGCCGCCCATTTAATTTTAATTAATAGATGTATATTATACTTTTGTAAGCAATTCGTACATTTGTATGTTTTTATATTATACCAATAAAAATAGTTCTCAATTTTAACATAAAAATATAAAAGATTTTTAATCTAATTACTTGCAACACTGCAAAAAAGCGTTTTTGTTTTATTTAAAAATAAAATATATGTTAGCTAAATAATGTTTGGCTGACTAAAAGTTAACCCTTTTTTATATTCCATTATCCATCTATCTAACAAGTGAGCCGCACGTTCGTTTGCTTCCTGTGTTATAAAAAAAAAAATTCTAAGATTGAAACGTACCCGAATTTTGCAAATGAATGCATTTATATCTACCTATTGATAATTATTTTTAATTAGTCTTCAACATAAAAAGAAATAACTCATTACTATAGCAAATATAATTAAAAAGTTAACAGTTGTTCTTTGTTTTGTACGGTTATAATTTACTTTATCTTTGACATTAATAGATGCTTTTATTCTTTATCTTACATCACGTTGCAATTACAGAGTAGGTTCGTTATAAGATTCTTTTAGGAATCGTATGTTAAAATTCAGTTGGTTTTTTTGTTCTAATGATAAGAGGTTAACTTCATTTTTAATTTGCACAGAATTCTTGTTGTCAAAGGAGCAAAATAATTTCAAATTGTGTTCCGCAGAAAAAAGAACGACTTCAGTTGCGGCATAATCATTTATTTTGATTTAAAAATCTAAACTACTAAATCGATTTTAATAATTTTTTTGGGACCAATCTGCAAGCGTATCTTTTTAGATTAAAAAAAATCCAATGATGTATGTAATGAAAACAAAAAAATTTGATGTAGCAAGAGGTGCTGGGGGGGCCATTGAGGGGGCAATGGCCTACTTTAAAAAGCGCAATACCCTACCTTAAAATGAAAGACCCCAAGAAAATTAGATTCGCTTTTTCGAAGTCACCTAATTATGGCTTCTGTAACCATTTTATAGATAGATAGATAGATAATTTATTAGCATTACTTACAGCACACAAACAACAATATACATAAATGCATAGTGAAAAAAAAATGAAAATTTTATCAAAACGTTATTAAATTTTTTTTTAATTAATTGGTTTTGTCACAGTTAAAGTCAGGTTTTTTTTTTGAGAAACAATAATTTATTATACAATAATTAAAATCAAATAAAAAATCATCAAAAGTATTTTAATGACATGGTTGTAATTGTAATTTTTTTTAATAGATGATAATGGAATGGTAACACCGCCTGTGCTAACGGTATACGCTGGTGGGCCACCAGTGAGGGATGATAGGCGATAATAAAAAGGCAGGTCAGTTAGCCCATCGTGATAAATACACCTGGAGGGGGGAAAGGAATTGTTAGTAATGGGGTCAAATAGCCCTATTACTAGCAATATACCCTGTCAGGTCGACCACCACGTGGTTCCCCCTGGAAACCATCGTGACTAATTCTAGTTTAATTCGTCAGGATGGGCTAACTGACCTACTTTCATATTCATCTGTCATCCCTCACTGGTGCCCCGCCAGTGTATACCGATAGCGCAGGCAGGGTTACCATACCATTATCACCTATTAAAAAAAATACACCTGGAATTCAGCACGATTGTTTAAAGGGGGGACCACGTGGAGGTCGACCTGACAGGGCATAAGCAATTGGACTAGCAATC